TAATATGAGGCGTAGGGTCCATTCGTGATAAGCCAGTAAAAACCGTAGACTTCTACAAATTCAATATAATTACCTCTGTAATTCGATTCAATAGATTCCCTATGCCAATTTTTGCTTTGATAAAAAACATATAATATGTATTAATTTTAGATATAATATATCTATTAGCCGTAACTATCTCGTTATAATATTCAATATTTATTTTATATTGTTTACTAATGTTAAATTCTATTCCGTTTTGATTTTCAAATTGCTTCAATTTTACGAAAGAATCGATGTGACATTTACGATTTTCGTGTCTTTTGCCAGCTTTACTCGAATTACTTAAATCGTCAAAGCCATTTTTATTCCACATACTAATTTCATTTTAAAATAATAGGCAAGGCCAACAAAACAATTTTTGCATTTTTATGCATTCACAAAGCCATTTTATATGTCTTCATAAAGTTTATCGTGAAAATATCGAACAAATTCTTTTGATTGAAGCACAGTATTTATATTTAATTTAGGCATTGGTCTTTCTCTTTTAATGATGTTTTCTTTTTCATTATATGATCTTGAGCCAANATATCGAACAAATTCTTTTGATTGAAGCACAGTATTTATATTTAATTTAGGCATTGGTCTTTCTCTTTTAATGATGTTTTCTTTTTCATTATATGATCTTGAGCCAAAACTTTTTTAAATAATTTTTTTAACTTTTTAAATAAACGTTTTTTTCTGCATCCCCTTATAGATGGGACATATGAAATCGTAATATCACTGGTTTAACATTGAAATCCGTAAGTAATATAAAATGGGAGAGCGGAATAAATATATCAAATATTTTAATGAATTTAAACTCCTGTCAACTATACAGAACTATCATAAAAACATACCAGTAAACTCCTATCGGTTGGGTTAAGTCATGAATCTACTCGCAATTTGCATAATGGGACCAGGGTGGCCAAATATCTAGCATGCAGGCGGCTAACAACGCAGAACCGGTCTTGGATAAAATCATTGGAAGCGTTATACGATATTTTGGTGTGTAGCATCCACCAGTTAAACCGTCTGAGGTTGGTGCTCTGTAAAGTGCATGCGCGAATGCGTATGATCTGGCTGCTTTACACGATTGAAATATTTTCGTCGTGGAAGCTGTTCCGTATTCGACAATACAGCGCTTCCATTGGGAATATACATATACATATTCGAATATACAATAGCAATCTTATCATTGTTTTCACATGTGTAGACATTTGTAATAAGGTACAGTACATAATGCGGTTATAATAAAATATTAATTTTAATTAATTCAAAGTAAGTTAAAATATGAAAATAATCGCACAATATGTATTTATATTTTAGACAATACAAGAGAAGCGGCGCTTCCACCGCTTGGTACCCAGTGGCGTGCCCTGGTACCTACGAGATTTTTTTTTATTGTTTCCTACATTTCGCTTTGAAATACCGAGCTTATCTTTACCAAAGAAATTCCAAAGAAAAAATAAATTGAATGTCATCTAAATTGTCATAATTTTTTACATCTCAGATGGTTTTGTTTAGATTTCATATATTCTTTATAAATTTTTAGTAGTAAGTGATCCAACGGGTCACGGGGTGTAGTTTTATACCAAATATTTAGAAATAAGTGATTAATTAATTTAGAGACGTCTAGAAGAAAAGATTAACCTGGATTGATAATCAAACCGCAAATACTGCAAACTGGACAGACGATTACCGATTACATTATTTAGGCTTCCTAAGCAGGATATTTGCCAATTTTCCCGCTACACTTACGCTAAACTTATTTGATCTGTTCTACTTCTTATTCGTTCATCCTTCAAAATTTTGTACATTTCTGAATACTTCCTTCATTATGCAAGTTAAACCTATCAAAATTTGATGGAAACTATGTCAGATAATATTTAAAAATGTAGTTACAAAAACTTTGATAAGTGGATAAGTCTAAAAAGACACAAATTCTATGAGAATATGGCATTAAAGATAAGCATGATATTTTTTAATTGACAGTCATAGGAAGTATGTAATCAATTGTAGTACCCGCCTAAAAGAAGTTTTAGGGAATAGAAATAGTAAGAAATTTTTGTTTATTGGCAGAAGGCAGAAAACGCATAATCAAGATAAAGCCATACCGTATGAATAGTTTTATTGTTATATCGGAATTTTAGATTTTGTCCGCTAAATCCAAGTTTCACTCTATCATATCTGAAACGCGAAGGAAATGTAAATTAAAGATACAATTCTTTGTTTATTTCTTTATCTTTTAGATCCAGCTTCGATTCGATTCAGGAACCGTGATCAGTAACGCAGAATAATAAGTCAGAATTCTGAGCGGCTTACTGGGCGGAGCTAAGAATATTCTGAGCATTATTGAGTTTAATTTCTAACACATAACACACCGTCACGAGTGCACAGACACCGGTCTATACATACGAGCGTATATTCTTTGTCAGACAACTAGGAAAACTGGCGGACGAAGTTAAAATTAAATAAAAATAAATATAATAAAAAAATTAAATTTGTAATTTCATCTTTAAAAATGAAATTATTTAACCCAACAGGAGCAGCCATTACAGTCGTAAGCGTAAAATTCTTCAAAACAGAAACAGAGATGGAGTGATGTCACTAAGCACAGAAAGTCTACTAAAAGTAGTCTGAAGCCCTGGTCACACTATGCGATTTCTAGCCGCGCAGGCGACTGCAACTGCAACAAGCGCGAGTCGCGCGCGTCTTCTCGTGGTCACACATTGTTCGTTGACGTTGCAACTCGGAAACACGTGGCCCTATAATAAAACAATAAAATTACAGTAGCTTGTTTTTGACTACTTTCGTGAGTTTGCCGATATTTTACGTTCTACTTCAGAATATTTACGGAATTTTAGCCACTTTTCTTATTAAAATAGCAAGCAGTTCCTTTTCTGGAATGAATAAAAGAAAAAAGGCGATTATTTTAATAGAGCTGGCGAAAATACGTGAAAAGATAAAATCTTCGATAAAACGAAGAATTAAAATCCCACAGGTATTCGTGAGCCTGAATAAGCTCGATCAATCTCGATTCTGTAAAAGTATTAATCCTCTGACTATCCGCCATGATGATGAACTATTTTCAATGTTGTCACTGTATGACGTGGCATAAAGGCGTTTGTTGATTGGATGCGCGTTTGCAATCGTCGCGAGTAGAACAAACTTTTTGTTTCTAGTTGCGATTGCAGTCGCGCCAGTTTTCGAGTGGGGATTACTAGTTAACGGGAACAGCCGTCGCGGTTGCAGTCGCCTGCGCGGCTGGAAATCGCATAGTGTGACCAGGGCTTGAGTAAATGAGTAAGAATCCTTACAGTGCGTCCACTTACTAATTACTAAACTGTACTTAGTAATTACTAAATTGTATTAACACTGTACTTAGTAATCACTAAAAATATCGTTCAGTAAGTCAGAATTTTGCGTTACTGAACACGGCCCGGATCTTTTATAGAGTCGCAACCTTACCGTTCGTCAAAAGGGGATTTCTCTATCCAGAGAAACAACTGATAAATTTTAAGCACGCAAAAAACAGATTATATTATATTAATATGAACAAGAACAATGGCATTAATTGTTTGCATGATAAATGCTCGTTACTAGCTGTATACAGTATTTTATTAGTATTGAATGTCAAATTCAGAATAGTAAAATTAATTTGTTAATATTGATTATAATAATTGGCAGATTATAATATTGTAACACAAGTTTGTACAATCTGTAATCTTGTCTCCGCGCTATTTGTGACAATTGTGTTATAATTAGAGTCGTCATCCAATTATGACAAACCATTTTAAATATAAATCGTATTACTATAATGATAACTTAATAATTTTTGTACGCTAGTTTTTTTATATACTGTACTATTGATAAATATCAAAACAATGTATTTCTGTATATTTAATTCATGTTTAATGAGCATTCTTGAATGTTTAATAAGCAATTACTTGAATTTATTATGTATTGATTTATAATAAGAATCGAGGAGTCTGGTGGAAAAACGATGTGTCCTATTTCGACAAAAAGGAGGATTTGTTTCAATTCATCAGAATTTTAAAATATGTAACGTTTTTATTAATGTGGGTTTGTACACTCGCATTAATAAAAACGGTACAACTCCTGGGGCATATAACCGAACCGTGAAAGTTGCTTAAACGGTCTTTACACGCTCCATTCTGTTCAGGTTTGTCTATGCAGACTATGTTTGCACTGACGGTCTGCATGGCTCATTTCTGCCTTCACGGGTTTCGATCTCCATTAAGCAGTTAACTGTGATCATGACGAAATTAAGTAACTTTGCTTACAAGATGATTCTTTTTTTAATCATAGCTGTGTTTTTCATATTTCGGCCACTATATTGTGATTAATGGAAATGATGAAGAAGTTTCCGTTTTATATGAAAAGATGAAATAGAAAGGATTGAAGCAAAACGAAAAAAATAAAAAGGCAAAAGTCCGAAAATATAGTTGTTAAAAGTGAAGAAAAAAACCTAAGAGTGTAATTGATGGTTCCATTCCTTCTACATCAAGTCGGCAAAATGAATCTGTCAAGATTATAGAAAAAGAAAAGATATATGTGGTAAAGCTATTTACAAAATGGATCCTGCCAAACACTGCTACTCTTGACTTTCCAAACAGCTGATGTTCTGTAGAGTTCAATAAATTCACTCATAAGCACACGTGTATCCCGAGAAGAATCTCACATTGTTTAATTTCTGAACACACAACATACCGCCACGAGTTCACAGACAACCAGTGTACACATACGAGCGTGTAAAGCGGACTTTAGATAATAGTTTCGACGATGCACAAATTCATATTTGTTTTTTCAACTCGTTTTCTGTAGTTTTGCAAATATGCCGTTTTTCCACCAAACCCGTAATTTATCAATTCAAGCTTACAGATTTAAATTATGATTGCATTTTACATAATTTTTATTTGAATATTTAATTAATACAATCAATCGTCTTATATTTACAGACAATAAAGTTAGCAATTGAATTTGAAAAATTGGTTCAGGAAGATAAAAGATTTGAAATTCCTGCTAAAAGGCATTTAGGATTAATTGTATTTAGATTGAAGGTATTTGATATTACTAAATTATAAAATACGTGTTTGATTTATAATATAAAAGATCATTTATATTTTAGGGCGAAAATGAACTAACAGAGAAACTATTAAAGCGTTTAAATTCTGATGGAAAAATACATTGCGTTCCAGCATCGCTAAAAGGAATTTACGTAATTAGATTTTCAGTTTCCTCACCTCGAATTACATCCGAAGATATTCGCCTCGATTGGAAAATCATCCAAATCACAGCAACTGAGATTCTACAAATGTATTCGAATAAGATTACAGTAAATAAACCTTCTATCAAAGAAGTTAAGAAACGAAATCCCGAATTCGGAACAAGTTTACTCTTAGCTAATAGTCCAATGATACCAAAGATCATGAATGGCAGTTACGTAGCTATTTTTGATAATACAGAAGCTATAGATCAATTTATCCAACGTTTTGGCAATGCATTTGGAAACTTGGCGAAGGACAGTCCCTCTCTTCGTCGACGTATTCGAGGTTTAAGTATAAGCAATAAGCAATACAGTCTGGATTCGAGAATGGATTTGATGAACAGCATTGTTGCTACAGCAATGAATTTATCAACAGCTTCTCAACGTACTTCAACTCCGAAAGAAAAGAATTGTTTAAAAGAATCTATTTCCGAAGAAGATGATTCTTCTAATTTAGTTGTTTGTTCCACAAAATGCCAGATGTGTGGTCAAGTTACATCAAAAGAAGCTTAAAAGTTTTGTAAATATCTTCAATATATCAGCACACATTCAATTTTGTTTAAAAGGTCTTTCAAAATTTTCTAAGATTTTGATCGAATTAAAGAAATACAGAATTGTTTCTTCCTCTAAGCAAAACCAATACAAAAATTATAAAATAGCTACAGTAGTAATTTATATTAGCAAAATGTATTTTTACTTATTTATTGTATTAAGCATTATCACATGTTTATTTAAGGAAATTATTATACAAAGTTAAAATAAAAAGAAGTTATTCAATCAAAGAAGTATTAAAAATTATTTAATATTATTATTTAATACGAAATACTTTTAATCACCAATAATATAAAAATTCCAAAAATCGGTTGATTCTAATTTATTTATACTGTGAAACCCAACCAAAATCTGTTTAAAAGGAAAAAGATCTTCGAAATAACGCGATTTTCTACGTTAAAGTTCACTGTAGGCCGGAAAACCTGTCCAAGGTGGACATCGAAGAAATTTAATACGAAGAATGTACGTTAAACTTGGATAAAGCGGAAAATTTTAAGATTCCTCTTGTAGACAAATAAGTAAAACCACCACCGGGTGTAAAGGTAATTGCAAAACGCAACAAACTGTATTCCAAGAAGTTTCGAACTTTGTCCAAAATTATCTTCAGGTCTGATGAAATTTCACCAAATCTAGTGATTTGTTGGAAACTATAAAAAAAGCTACTATTTAATGATTTTTAAATGTAGTATTATTATAAGTGTATGCAACACCTTTTCAGTTTCCCGGCTGTTATGTATACATAACAAGGGAAAGTATTCAAATCGTGTTAAATTTGACCCTCCGAGTCTTTTGAAAATCTCCACGTTTTTGACCCCCCAAATCCAAAAATGTCAAAAAAAAACTGGCAAAAAATCCCGTGAATATGTGTATTAGCATCTATTTTGCTTAATATCACAGGAGGGGTAAAGATATAGAAACGAAATTTGGTATGGTATTGATGCTATTAAATTTTTATTGTAAAAGGTCAAGGAGATGAAGAGATAGAAGGTGGTCACGTATTATAGTTTTGGTCAGACTTAATGAAGATTTTACTTGTTAGCATTTGCAGTGTTTTATAAAACCATCTCTACCCTCAAAATTAAGTCTTTTGCTATTTTAAAATATATGAAATTTCTACAAAATTTCAGATGTGCCACATACAATTTTAGTTAGTTATTTTGATTAATAATACAAATAGAATAATTAATTAAAATCGCGAGTAATGAAAAGGTTTTAAACTTCAGTAATAGCAAGACCCAGGGTTTTGTGTATTACTTATAATTATTCAAATTCGATTAACTTCAAACTATTAGATTGGAAATGAAAAAAAAAAAAATATATATATATATNTTTATTAAAACTTGTATATTTTGCAACTTAATTCTAATTGCTTTCTTTATGTATATGATGTATACATAACTAGAAAATGACAAACTGATTAATTTTAAATGTGAATAAAGTTAGGTTAGAAACATAATTATTAATTACAAACAAATTAGAGAGGAGAAAATTTCTTAAAACATTCAGTAAATGTTTTAAGAATTGATAAGGTTGAATGAACTGCTCAATTATCAGACTATGATATGGCTGTGTAAATAATTAAATATTAAATAATTTGTCTAGAATTAGGTAGTTAACTATAAATCAGGTTATTGATGAATTGATGTTTTGAGAGTTGATTCTTGATAAATTTGTTTTATTATATATTAAAAATATTTTGATAAATTAAATATCTGGTTGGTATATTGACTTAAATTCATGTTAGAAACTATGGAATAAATTTTTATTCCATAGTTTTAGAATTTAATAATTCTTTAGTTGAAATATAATTTAACAATAAAAATATTTTATTTATAATTTTAAACTAATTAAATAAGTTTTATTTCAGTTCTTCAGATAAATCAGTGAAGGTTTGGGATATTGCATCAAGAAAATGTGCTCACACATTTCATGAGCATACTGATCAAGTTTGGTGTGCAAATTACAATAGCAATGGTAGTAGAATAGTTTCTGTTTCTGATGATCGGACAATAGCCATTTATGACTGTCCTGTATAATAAAGTTAAATTTGAACATTTAATAAATTTTTTCATATTAATTTTGTATCATTAAATATAACAAAAGATTATTACTTTAATTTTTTTGTATTAATTTTTATTGCTATTAATTTTTTTGTAAAGAATTATATATATAGTCTGATATCAGACTATATATATAATTCTTTACAAAAAAATTAATAGCAATAAAAATTAATACAAAAAAATTAAAGTAATAATCTTTTGTTATATTTAATGATACAAAATTAATATGAAAAAATTTATTAAATGTTCAAATTTAACTTTATTATACAGGACAGTCATAAATGGCTATTGTCCGATCATCAGAAACAGAAACTATTCTACTACCATTGCTATTGTAATTTGCACACCAAACTTGATCAGTATGCTCATGAAATGTGTGAGCACATTTTCTTGATGCAATATCCCAAACCTTCACTGATTTATCTGAAGAACTGAAATAAAACTTATTTAATTAGTTTAAAATTATAAATAAAATATTTTTATTGTTAAATTATATTTCAACTAAAGAATTATTAAATTCTAAAACTATGGAATAAAAATTTATTCCATAGTTTCTAACATGAATTTAAGTCAATATACCAACCAGATATTTAATTTATCAAAATATTTTTAATATATAATAAAACAAATTTATCAAGAATCAACTCTCAAAACATCAATTCATCAATAACCTGATTTATAGTTAACTACCTAATTCTAGACAAATTATTTAATATTTAATTATTTACACAGCCATATCATAGTCTGATAATTGAGCAGTTCATTCAACCTTATCAATTCTTAAAACATTTAATGAATGTTTTAAGAAATTTTCTCCTCTCTAATTTGTTTGTAATTAATAATTATGTTTCTAACCTAACTTTATTCACATTTAAAATTAATCAGTTTGTCATTTTCTAGTTATGTATACATCATATACATAAAGAAAGCAATTAGAATTAAGTTGCAAAATATAAAAGTTTTAATAAAAATTTCTATCATATGTGAAAAGTTGTGTGATTATATAGCTAAATTTACTGTATGTACAGTACATACAACATATATACATATGAGTCGTTCAATAAAAACATGTCCAATAAAAACATAAAAACTGTTTTTAGGAACTTTTGTCTGTGTTGGTGCCAATTATACATATGCCTTAATGCTGGAGGAGATTAAGTCCCACTAATTCACCAAGCAAAAAATTCCTTCCTGAAAGAAGCATGTTGGCTGGTGATTGTAAAGTCCCAAACAGCATCCTTCTTTTCTTCACTGTCAGACTAAATGTACAAACTTTTTTTTAGCTGTCTAAAGATGTGGAAGTTATAAGAAGAGAGATCAGACTATACAAAGGATGATCAAGTTGTTCCTAATTTATGTTTTTTTGAGTTTGGTCTTTGTGATGTTTGCTGTATGGGAATGGGCATTGTTGTTAAGAACAACTCCATAATAGTTTATCAGATCACTTGTTCTTAATGGCTGTACACAGCCTTGATCAAGTGTGGAGTTTTATTACACTATTAATGCAATAAAAGTTAAATTTAAAAAATTCAGTTTACTTTTTAACTGCTATATACAGACCTGTATATTGGTTTGACTTAACAAAATAATCATATGAGCATATCAATAATTCTCATTATGTATAATAAATAATTCTAGTTGTAGAGTGATAAATGACAGTTTACAACTAGAATTATTTATTACAAGTAAAAAAAAAAAATTTGTGTTTGGAAATACTATTGTAAATTAGAAGTAATGTATAAAAAAATCTGCTGGGGAAAAATAAAAATAAATAAAATTGCAACCAATCAGCTGATTAGATCCTACTTTTATATATACAATTAAGCCTACTTAATTTCAGCTATTTCTTAATATTTAGAAGCCAAATAAATTGGATAAACTTTGCTACATCCCTTGTATTTATAGAACTTTTCATTTCTATTTATTCTTTTTCAAACAAAAATGTTAAAAAAATTAAAAGATGTAAAAAGTTTCATTAACTCCAGATAACAGAAATTACCAACCCAAAAACCAAAAACTAGCAGAAATGGTAAAACTCATATTAGAGAATGATTTCCTCCATGTTAAATGTACATATTCAGGTTTTTAACATTGTAAAATCTGAACCGTACAATATGGAATGCTTTGATTCAAAATACAGAGGCTCATTTATTAGTGAACTGGACACTTCAACAGTCTTGTATACCATGTAATTATGACAAGGCATAGGCCTTCCAAGCTGATGGAAACAATTCTGCTTAAATAAATGAAGCTCTGTATTTTGAATCAAAGCATTCCATTGCATGCAGTTCAGATTTAAAATGTTAAAAGTCTGAAGATGTCCAGTTAATATGAGGAAAAATGTTTACTAATGTGAATTTTATTATTTCTGCTATTTTATATTTAATTATCAAAATTTTAAGAGACTGTTATCAAAATAATAGTATTATAAAACTTTACCTTGAGAGAAAATGAACATTATCTGGAGTAATAACTAGAAACTTTCCCATCAAGCATGACGGAATACTTTTTATGAGAAAGTAGAATTTTTATGAGATTGAAGAATTGAGAAAAGTAGAGATTTCCAGTAATTCAAGAAGAGTTCCTAATATTTCTATTTGTTCAAGTCGAACTTGACGTTGTGATGCTGTTTCTGTAGCCTTGAAAAGCCATTCTTACTTGATGTTGCTGAAGTCAGACTTCATGGCCTTCAGGGGTCTCAGTTGTTCTTATTCTTTTAGATCTAGAATTTACCTGACTAATTTTACTATTACGCTTTTCCCTAGGCATTTTTAAAAAATAGTGTGTCCTTTTAATTCCACTTTGATAAAACAAATTGTATATATATACAGTACAGTANATCAAAATTTTAAGAGACTGTTATCAAAATAATAGTATTATAAAACTTTACCTTGAGAGAAAATGAACATTATCTGGAGAGAAATCAACATGAAGCACCCAGGAACCATGACCTGATAATGTACCCACAAGATTGGCATGATGACTGAAAAATTAAAATATATTTTAAGAATTTACTTAGTTGAAAAATAAATTTTTAAATAAGTAATACGTAATAGCTTCATAAAAACTGCACAAATTCTTAAAATTATTATTAATGGTAATGAATTTTAATAAAATTGTTTTTAACCATCTTGAAATTAGTGTAAGTATTAAAATATAAAATGCTGTATGATGAAAAATTACTGGCTTTTTCTATCTACTGTGTGCAACAAAAAGCAGAAAAAAAGACAGGAAACTTTGTAAATCATTTGTATTTCATCTTCACTTTTCTATTGTGTGTTAAATTTATTAACTAATACTTGATTAATAATTTTCTTGATTGCAATTGTAATTAAAGTTGGCAGCCTACTTTGTACTAAAAATATTAATTAGAAGAATTCCTGTAGTAATTTAATAGTCATTTCTCCTATAGTTATTGAATTATAGGAGAAATGACTGTATTAAAAGAACTATAAAGTCTAATTAATGTGTGTGTTCCTAAAAATGATTGTGTTATAGAATTTCATGCATAAAAGTAACAGGATTTATGAAAAACTAGAATTAAGGATAGAACATTCAAAATTTGTATAGTCTATCAACATGCTTTGTCATTTCAAGCTTCTTCTCTACATTTAAAGTTTTCCTTTTTGTTCACTACTTGACTTCTTAAAACTAGTATGTTTGCTAATTTTTTGATTGCTATATTAAATATTTTTATCAAGATAAGTACACAAATTCAGTAAAATAGCATAATAAAAACTCATAGGGCAATATACCTAAAACTGATATTTAAGTTATTGATATCTTGTTAACAATGCCAACAGTAGGGTATCTTGCATCTGCATGTGAATCCTACTTTCTGCATGTGAGTCTTTCATCTCAGATTGGTACAAAAAGTCACAGTAAGTGAAAAAGTAACCTGGAAAATAACTTTCTATTTTGGTAAATGGATTAATGATTGCTATAGAAAAAGACAAGATGACTGTCTATTTTATACATCTTTTAAAAACTCCTGGCATACAGTACCACCAGGTAAATAGAACACTGTCTCAATTTTGCTCTATTACTTTAATTAATTTCTTTTTTATCAATATCAATAAAAAAGAATCAATACGTTACAATTTGTCACATATAATACAGATGTCAATGCATATATTTCTTTCTATAAAACAATCCATTTAGTAGAATTTTCTGATTGACTAAATATGATTTAAATGTGATGTGTAAAAATAACTAAGAAAGCAATCAAAAAATCATTTATGCTGATTAATTCTCAGATACCTGTAAATACTATATTTTCATGGACTGTCCGACATGCCAACATGCCAGTCTATATAGGGGAGATGATAAAAATTAGATATTTCCATACAGTAAAAACCAGCATGCCCGTTTATCCTGGGAGAATGCTGGCATACCTGTTTAAGTGAGACTGTTTAATAAAAATTGGTGTTTATGAGTTTATGAGGGCATGTGAAACTCATAAACCCCAATTTTTATTAAAAAATTTGAAACTGTCAGCTTTACATCAAAAATTAAGATTATATGTTTAATTTCTGCATTTTATCTTCTTCCTAATGATGTAAAATAATCGTGGCCACTGAAAGTGCTTTTTTATGTTTATTTTATTGTAATTTGATTCAAAAAGGTAAAAATGAGCATATCAAAATTCAGAAACACCCTGTAAATTATCTCAATTTACAAGAAACTTACATCTGCTTTGTGTGAAATTTGAGAGGAAAGTGTTTTTGTTCAGGGTCAGGATACATTGTCAGTGCAGCCAACATTGACTAACTACTAATACTACTAATGTCAGTAAGCTGTTAATTGTTTTGTTGCCCTGTAAACAAAACTCTTCCTTCAGTCAAATTACAATGTTATTTTATTGTATTCTGAAGATGTTTTCTTTAACATTTATTTAACAACTAGTTTTATTAGATCCGATTAATTTTATTTTTTAGTTGCAGTTTAACCAGCATGCCAGTCAATCCATGAAAATATGGTACAATTTTAAAAGAATTTTATTTCTAACTAAAATAATTTTGAAAAGAAAGAAAAATGTAATTGAGCATGATTAATTTTCATAATCAATTGCATAGATAAAAAATGATAGAAATTCCACATATTCTTGTAAAAATTAGAAAGCAGTAAAATCATGAAAGATTGTTGAAGAAGATACCAATTATGTAGGATTTTAAAAAATGTTGTGTTACCAACAACATGGACAGATTCTTGAACGGTACATTATTCTCAGAAGACCATGATGGCAATAAAATAGAAAATGGGAATGATGATAATGAAAGTTCTGATGAAGATGAATGGAATGAAGTACTGTTTCAATTACTTTCCAAATTTTTTAAATACAAATTGCTAATTTTTTGTGTTCAAATAAGATTAATAATAAAAGATTGACTTATTTTTTTAAAAAAATTAGGACCCAAATATAAGAATACCAAGGTTAGGAGTCAACTATGGGCCAATATGGTTTTATGATACTTTAAATTATATATATATATATATATATATAATTGGAATTAATATTATCAATATTTTAAAATAAAAATTATTACTTACACATCATATATTTTAATATGGCAATCATCAGAACCAGTTAATAATAGCTGAGAATCTTTAGAAAATGTCAAAGAACGAATTGGCATAGCATGACCTGAAAAAATAAATATCTAATCTTTGAAATTTCTTAAAACAACAACTTTTCAAATTTAGTTCAAAATAATGTATTTATTATAATCATAACAAGAAATAAATAAACTAGCTATATAAACAGTTACAATTACAAATATTCAAATAGTATAAAAAATTCTATACATTCAGGATCCCTCTGTAATATATCAATATAAACATATATTATTATTTCCAAGTAAAAATTTTTGTTTAACTAATTAATTATACATCTATTAGTTAAACAAATTCTTCTTCATAGGTAATTGTAGTGTTAGCATTTTCAATATTAAGTATTTATATGATAGCTACTTTTAATCACATTTCTCAGTACTTTTTTTTTGTATTATAATAATATGAAATAAAGAATTTTTAGAAAAAGCAAAGAAATTTTAAACATCATTCATTCCACATTTTTATTAACTATTTTTAATCTTATTACGCCATTTCACAAAATAATTATCAAATTCTACAATCAAGGTTTTATTTTCTTGGGAACATGATCATGAAAAGAAATATAAAATCAAATTTAAAAAAACTTTTGTTAAAAAAAATAAATACATTAATAGCATTTTTAAATGGCCAGTACAAAAATGTTTAAATTTACAAAATTTAAGAAAATTCTTAAAAAAAAGAAATACAAAAAAAAAAAAAAACAAAAAATGTCTTTTCTCACTTGTCCTTTCACATGCATGAAGAAAATAAGTTCTATAGCAGAGTTGACCTTTCATTTGAGGGTACTCGTCTGCCTCAATATGTAAAAATGTTAAAAAATTTTTGTTTTGACCATTTTTATCAAATTTATTTATTTTTTAATATTGTCCCATTACCAGAGAAATTTTTTAACATTTTTACATATTGAGGTGGACAAGTAGCCTCAAATGAAAGGTTGATTCCTCTGTAGAACTGTTATTTTCCTCATGCATGTGAAAGGACAAGTGAGAAGACACATTTTTTTTGTATTGTCTTTTGTTAAAAATTTTTTTAAATTTTGTAACTTGAAAATTTATTACTAGTATTTATCATCCTGCTCCAAGAGTCTGATCTTGATGTGATAAGCAGGTTTGTCCAGGAGTAAAAACTGACCTAACATTTGCTCATACTCAACAACAGAACCAATCAATGATAGCAACACTTGTCTTACTGGTGGGGTACACCTTTCCATCCCAATTTGTACAACATTTCCAAGAAGAGATCAATCTTATAGAGATAATCCCATGCCACCTGAGCACCATTGTTCTGCCCTCTGCAACTTTTACGACCAAACCAACCTTATAATCCCCATCAAGACCGTAATTCAACCCATTGTTTGTAGGCTGCCTACTGATCTACTCCTGATACTTACTTAATACCTATATTAAAAATGTATTCCATATTATATTTTTCCCACATATATCTAATGTAATATATTGTATTATATTTTAATATTCAATATATTATGTTACTATTATCCAATTAACCCATGTCTATCAATTTTTAATTATTAAATACATACTATATTTAACTTATTTTTGAAGTCCTTACTTTTTTTTCCACCACAAAACAAACCATATGCTTTAAAGAGAGAGAGAGAGAGAGAGAGAGAGTGGGAGAAAGAGACTACTTATCAAAGCTTGTAAAGGAAAATAAATTTCCTTATTCGCATATATATATCAATCTATATAACCCATTGAACACATGTCCATCCATCCGCGTAACAGTATGCCAAAAATGGGCAATAGAGCGCGGTGCCCTAACAATGATTTTAAATTAACAATAAATTATTTTTATTTGTAATAGGAATTTATTATTGACATGAATTTATTATTTATACCATGGAATGGTATAAATAATTATTATATGCCTTGCTTAACCTTGTGCCGCACATTTACAACATCCCATGACCCAGTTAACATCGTGCATTGATTCACAGGAAATTTGTTGAAAAAATGGTGGATACATTTAAAATTGAGGTTTACAAGCGAAGGTAAATAAACAAATTAAACTATTTTAAAATATTTATAGAATGTTTAATTAATAAGTAGAAATCTAGATCTGTATGATGCGATTGGGACTTTAACAGAGCTGCAGATCATATTGATAAAAACAAAAAAGTCAAAGGAACCGTGCCTCATGGAAATTTGTAAAGAATGCCCACTAGGGGGCATCCCAGGCTACTAGTATATATATAATCAAACAAATTCTGCCACAGAAATTTTTGTACACAATTATAAATGCTATCCAAAGTAACTCTCATTTATATAATTTATGAGAGAATTTAATTACTTGTACATAAAATCAGAGAGAGAATCACTACATCGTATTAACTTCATCAACATAAAATCAAGCTTCCTTGTTAGGAACAAGCCCGATTTTAGAAAGGCTAGAGTGATGAGAAAACTTGGGCTAAATAGAAAAAAAATTTTACTTGAATAATTTTGCTAAAATTTTAACTCTCAACCATGATAGCAGGAAATGATTCCATTTTCCCCATGGACTTGTTTACTTGTCCAGAGATGACAAATCATTCGACTGTGTTGCTTTTGACTGTATCAGGAACATAACATAAAAATCGCTATTGGTTTAACTAACATTCATTACAAAAACTGGATATAGAACCTAAAAGGAAAGGAGCCCATTGTCTTGGAGAGTCTGTCATCAAGTGTTTGCTCCTGTCTTGGATATACACCACACATAAAAATCATCAGCACTGATTATCTCCAGGGACTAAATCCTAGTGAAATCCTAACTGCCAATTGGCAACACCATTCTATTTGAAGAACAAAATCCTATGCACTAAGGGGCAACACCTTTCTCCTAAGATTGCAACAAAGTTTACAATTTCAAATAAATACCAATTCATTATCACTTGTAAACTCTCTCTCTTGCAGTTGGGCCCAATAAATAAACAGGTATTAATTTTGCTAAATGAGTTGTAGAGTGCACTTATTTCAATACATGGTCTCTTCCATTCCAAATCTGATTGCTTACACAATTTCTTGCAAGGCAGCAAAAACACAACAATGTCAGGAATGATCATCAGGGTCAGAATCACCAATCTGATGCTGACCCTTTGGTTACAGTTGTATGCAGATGACACTGTTATTAGCAGAGAGCAAGGAAGAGCTTCAGACATGTGTGTCTAATTTTGAAGAGGTATGTGAGGAATATGCTGCAAGTGAATATGAGTAAAATTAAACTGATTGTGTTTGAATGCAAAGGTAAGCAAACATAATGCATGATTGAGTTGGATGGTGAACAACTGGAACAACTGAATGAATTTGTTTATGTGTAAAGCATGATAGATAGGAATAGAAAGCTAGACAGTAAAATCATCAGAAGAGTAAATGCAGGAGTGCAGGTGGTGGGTGCAATGAGTAAATTTGCGAGGGATAAAAGTGAGGTCTCAACCAGAGGCTGAAACCTCAACCAAAATCTGTGTTAAAAGAAAAGTTTTTCAAGTAAAATGAGTTTGATATATAAAATATTGTGAGAGAACAGATCGGGAATTTGATCAATTTCTCCAACAATCGTCATGTGGGTGAAGCCGGGAATATTTATGGCTGGAGTAAAAATACTTGACTGTGAATTATGGACAGATTCGCAACAAAATTCAATAAACATATTTGGCAGGTGTCCAATCTCTGAATTCTGCCTCAACTGGCCCTTGCAACAACTAGGGACCAATTGGAGAGATAGAAGATGGAGATCATGGCCAACTAGAGCATTGATCAGGGATGCAAAACCTTTAAGAGGCTCAAATTCAAGAACAAGGAGGTATTTTCCTTTGGTGGTTTTGTGCCTAAGAATAACCAATTTTCTTTGCCTCACCAGGCCAGAGATCTTCCCACAGAGATCAGAAGGGGATTACAAAGTACAGGAACTCTCTGGCTGGGACAGAGAGACATTTATCTGGAATACGAGAACCAACAACATGTGTTCTTGGCACTCTCCATCAGGGACAGTCTTTGAGAACACTGAGATGCTGAGGAAGATTGACCAACTGGAAACTTCTCATCACGAACATTGTAGCCTGTCATGAACATTGTAGCATGGACATTACACATCAAATTAGTCTAAGTCACAAACGAGTGTTGTCACAAGGGTCTGTGTTTTGGTATATTAATAAACGGGTGTTAATTTGTAAATGGAGTTTGTGCCTCTGTGTCTAACGCCACCACCCACATATGCTGTTCATACCTTCTTGCCATCCTGAACGACACCTCCTTCTAAATTAAGGGAGTGTTAATCTCAACTCTAGGATATCAGGTCCACGATAAACACATCACGGGGTCCTCCACAAAAGGATGTCCAAAAAGGCAAGAATGGCTGTATATTGAGTATGTTGTGGCACCTGTGCTCATACATAGTACCAAAACTTGAGTATGGCAGAAGAGTCACAGGCATTGCATTACTGCATGTGAGATGAGGTATTTGAGAGAAGTGTGTGGCATAATGAGGAGAAACTACAGTATGTGAGAAATGAAGTGCTGGAGGAATGTGGGGTGAAAGAGAGAGTGGTTCAAAAGGTGAGTAAATGGCTCTACACTGGGGTTTGGTCATGTTGAGAGAATGAAAGAACTGTTGAAGAGAGTATATATGAGAAAGGCAGATAGGAAGACCACAAAAGTATTGGTTGGAACAAGTGGATACATATCTGAAAGTATGTAAGGTGTTGAGTCATAAAGAAAATGTGAGGAAGTGTGTCAGAAGAGGCATGAGTACATCTGAAGAAAAAGGCTTGTGTCTAAACAAGAAGGACAAGAAAGTGAAGAGAAAGTTGCTGAATGGATGATTTGTAGTATTGTAGACTCCTTTTGCCTGTTGCTCATCCTTTTTTGGATTATGAGCATGAGGATATGTTTGTATGTAATATTTATCATACTGAATACACTAAATATTAATGACTGTTTTTGCAATTTTTATTGATATTTCAGATGTACTTACCTTCAAGGGTGTGAACCATTTTTCCTGTAGCTATGTCAAATACTTTAATTATTCCATCAATTGCTCCACTGGCTAAATATTTACCATCTGGACTCTGTGAAAGAAATTTACTTTTAAACACATTAAAATATATAATCAATGAAGTATAGTTTGATTTACTTACAAAGGCTATACTTAAAGTAAATTTTCCTGTTGTATCAAGTGACGATTCTTGTTTTCCACTTTCTACTCCATATAAATTAATTTTTCCAGAATGACTACCAGTTGCCAAAAACCTTGAATCTGGCGAAAATGTGACTGTCCAAGCTTCCACTGTATGCAAAATTAAAATGAATTTACTTTTTAAAAGTAATGAATATATTATATATATAAATTAAAGCTCCATATTCACATATTTTAAATATTTACAGTTCTATATTTGTAATTATTTTCCATATTTATAAAGATAAAATTTACTCATTTGCAGAAAGGTTAACAAAATAACAAAACAATGAATGAAAAAAAATTAAATAATTTTTAATGTTTTAATCTTATATTAATTCTAATGTAATATGTATTATTGACTATTCACTGTGCTAGTATATACAATTTCACAGATGTGTTATTTTGGCAAATGTATTTACATAAATAGTATATTTTGTTTTTTGTATTAGTAGACATTGTGATTGTAAGCACTGTGTTCTGTGAGCTATTTTTGTTAAGTTTTCTTTTATTTTTGCAAGTTAGTAATGTCATATAAATGAAACTAGAGTGGCAAAATATCAAAAGACCAAAAAATGCTGTCTCTCAAAGACAATATTAATGTGCTAGATTGCTTAGAGAAGAAAATTTAACACTATGATTGTTTGCATTTTCATCATAATAAATCTACTAAAGAAAAAAAAAATTAAGAAAAAGAGTCAGAGATTAGAAATATAGGAGCAAAGATTACAAAGATTGTTAGAGACAAAACCATCAAAAAATAGAAAAAGTTTTCAGCATCTGGATCAAAGATAAGTCACCGAAAAACATCCCTTTGAGCAGCTCTATTGTTTATGAAAAGCATAAATTTAATCATTTTACTATAAATAATAGTAAAACCAACTATGTTTAAACTGATACTTCTGAAAGATAATTTCAAAACTTTAAAAAAAGGAATAATCTACATAATGTAAAACTTGTAGGTAAGAAGTCTTAAATTTAAGAAGAAATTATATGAATAAATTTAAGAATGTGTTTCCAGAAACAGTTATATGACTTCAAAAGAAACATAAAACAGATGAAAATTAGAAGCTTTTTAATAATTAATCACAGTATATCTCGCATATACTTATTATTGTTTTCATCTTTTAGTTTTAAATAAAATAAATAAAAAATTTTTTGTATTAAAACATAATTTTACTTTATTTTTTCAAACATCTAACCATACTTTTCCAAATGTATTTCTCCTTTCTATATTTGTAGTTTGGAGAATATAATCCAAGAATACAAAGCTTCTACCGTATTCACACTTTTTATCAGTTCTAAATACTGATACTTCAAAAAAGTTTTGATAGATTCTTAATATGGACTAAATCAAAATCTAAGAATTATTTATAATTGAATATTAATATTCAGATAACAAGTATCAAGTATGCAATATACTTACTATGTCAATAAATTCTGATACAAATTTCAAGTTCATTTATTTATGCAGATAGTGCAGTCTCTATAGAAATGTGTTTACATTAATTTTTTTTTTAGATGTTCAAAACATTCAAAACTAAAATATAAGAAACTAACATATGTTAGCATATTCATTATGAAAGAGCTATAAAGAAAGTAGCAAACAATTTTACAACAAGAAAAGTAAACATTTGTTTTCTGTTAAATCTGGACATTTTGCATAAAATTTGGTGTATCACACACCACACATAAGTATGAGGAAACCAATCATACTGATGACTTCCCAAGAAATAGTCATCCAAAAGATAAAAGAACACAAGAGTTTCTTAAGATTTTAAAAAATTGGAAAATTTTTTAAATCTTAAGGAATCCACGTCAGAATCAGAAATTAGCATTGCAGATAAATGTCTTAAAGCAAATTTCTCAAAGAGAAATTCAAGCTTAAGGTATTGAAACATGGGATATGTAATATTTCAACCTAGACTCAAAATAAGAATAGGCTGAGTCATTGATGATGCTTGCAGTGATATGGACAAGAATAGTCTCTTCAACAAAAAATTTTTTACAGGAGAAAAAAATTTAAAATTTAAATTTAAAATCTATGCCAAATTAGAGAAAGACATTTCTCTGCTTCTCTGTAAATTCCAAAGAATCCATCTTCTAGTTTGTATAATAGTTTAGTTTAGTGTCAGATGGCAAGGCAAAGCAAAGCTTTGTTTCTTGTCTACATGTGCCAATGTAAGTGCCATAAGTTATAAAATAGAGATTCTGGTTCCAGTAATTAAAAAATTAATTCAAACTTTATTCAAGTGCAATTCTTGCACTTGGACATTCCAACAAGATTCAGCTCGTTTACAGCCAATCCTGTGTTCTTTCGGCAACTGAGAATATTCCTAATTTTTATTTTTAAGAAAGAATGACCCTACATCATCCTGATCTAAACTCATTGTCTGACCTAAGCTAATGCCATATGACCAAAATCACAGATGAAGGTCTGTGCAAAATCCTATACAACTGTTAATGCTCTTAAGTTATTCTCCAAGAATGGGACAAGTTTCCTATAGAAAACATTCATACTACTATTGAAGAATATAGACCAAGAACATTTTCAAAACTAAGGTTGGAAATTACCTACCTTACCATATATTAATTGAGATAATATTTGTATTATAAAATTTTCTTTTCATAAATTGAAATTTTGGATTCTTAAATTTCTATCAGAAATTATTGGTACACTGCATATGTATTGAAGACAATTTGATACAGTAGAGCATCGATTATCTGACCCCCAATCAACCATCACATCGGTTAACCGACCACATTCTAGTCGTCAAATTCAAATGTCCACTAGTGATATGGCGCTACAATATTTGGCTATGTCTTGGTTACTTTAATATTATTTTTATGTGTTTTAGCTGGCAACACTGGCTCGACCATGAAAGGGAGCCAGTATTTAAACGAGGCTTAATTTTCTAATATTTAACGATACAATAGCGACGATTATTATTTTAAAAAAATTTTTGTTAGGCTTAACATCGATGAAAATTCAATGCGAAGTTGGTTAATAGCAATATACTAATATACTAATTACATGGGATATACTAATATACTATACTAATAATGTATTTTTTCATATTTTTCGGTTATCTGTTTTTTCAGTTATCCAAGCAACCCCAGTCCCCAATTGAGTCGGATAATTGATGCTCTATTGCAGTGTTTTTCAACCTTCTTGAATACGCGACCCCTTTACAAGTTAAAAAATTCTGGCGACCCCCTAGGGCCATATTAAAACTATATCAGTGATTTTAAAAACTATGTATTTAATTTTCTTTATGTTGAGACAAATTATTGTTGATTAAAATGAAAATTTCAGAAGAATAGACAATAATTTAACACACATAAAGTTTGAAACTTTGTTTAATTATAACATTAGGCACAGGGAACTGTTGACCTTCTTCTTCTTCTTCTTTTTTTTCTTTTTTTTAGGATCTGAATTTTCAGCTTCTACTTTCCATTTTCTTTTGCAAATCAGTTCAACACTTTTTCCGCTATCATTTTCTCGGGTGGGCCATAATTCTCGCTAAAATTGTAGTTTTTTACTGCAGTGTAGGACCTACAAACACTTGTCTTTTTCTTCTACCCGCGACCCCCCGTGTAAGGCTTTGCGACCCACAGGTTGAAAAACACTGTTCTACTGTATTAGCATAACATTTTTTCATCTTTATTTCTTTAGTAAACATTAATAAATATGGATATCAATTAAAAAATTGAAAATCAATTTCAAGCAAACTTTTAAAATCATATATCAGTTGAATTAGCTATTGTAGAAAACGTTTTAAATTACAATTTAAAAAAATTACTATAATTGAAAACTTTTCAGCTTACAAATAATTAAAAATTTCACGAAGTCTTCCCTGTCATTACTCTAAATAGAAAATAAATAAATAAATAAAAACTATGCAGACTATGAACTGCAAAATTGTATTTCAGTCAAATTGTTTATCTGAACTAATTTATGATCTGAAACTTGTTTATCAAATTCTCTTATTCATGCTAATGGTTCTAATTGTAATCAAAAAGACAAGTAAGAGAAAACTTTTGTGCTAGTGAACTTTCCCCAAAGACAGACTTATCACACTGGATTAAACCTGGAACAGAATGATCTTGAGACACAATTTACAGAATAGTTCTATGTATTTATTTTTAAAATTCTATGTCATAAAACAAATACATAGAATTATTCTGAAAATTCTGTATCTCAAGATCATTCTGTTCTATGTTCATCCAGTGTGATTAGCCTGTCTTTGGGAAAAGTGTGTTAACACAAAACAAGACAACAGACAAAAGCAATCATAATAAGAGAACACTACTCTGGAAAGAGAGTTAGTCTCCAAATAACCACCTAATCTTTTGATGAGTTTGAGAATATAAACCAAAGACAGGTGAATTTGATTGTCTACCAACAAAAGTCTATTGGAGGTATCTGAAAGATATTCATCATTCATTCATTCATTCATTCATTTTATTAAGGTACTAAAGTACATATCCAGTACTGCTAGGCACAACTGGATGAGTGTTACAGAGAGTGAGATATGGCACATTTGTTTTTACATGGGAGTTGCGTACAAAATGGAGTAAAAGTGTTTACAGAATACAAATCACGTAGGATTACATTACATTACATATGAATGACAAATGGTTACAATAACAGAGTAACAAATGAATACTTATGGTTGACAGAATGACAAATAATTACAAATGATAGGCAGAATGACCAGTGATTACATAAAATAATAAGAAAGAAACTGCATACAATAAATGTTACAGTGAATATAAGGCACGTACAATAAGAGATAAATGATAAGATAGAGTACAATAAAATATACATTTACAAAATAAGAATAGGGTGATTACATAAAGATAATACAAATTATGAAAGAAATGAAGGAATATACAATATATACAGGTGCACAGGATGGAAGGTGCCAAGCAGAGCAGAGGAGATTAGCTGGAAGCTTGGGTACAGGTGGGGACATTGGTTCTTTTGTTATATTGCTTGATGAGAATGGTGAGCTGATTAAAGGTGTCCCTATCATTGACCAGGTCATAAAGTTGGTCTTGATCATTATTAGGCCAATACCCGTGCTTGAGGTCGATGATAGTACAGTCGACCCCCCTATAATTACGGTCCCTATAATTACGATTCCTATAAAACTACGAAAAAATATACATATTTTGGAAATGTTGAGTCGGATTAGTGTAGAATCGATTAATTTTATGGAAGAAAACCTTTCAATCAGCCGTAGTCCGTAAACTTGACACGTGTCGGGCTGTGATTGGAACGACTTGTAAGAAATCGGATTCCTAATAAATTGGAACGTATCTATATCTTATAGGGGGTCGACTGTACGTAATTGGAGCCTCTCGTGCTCCAGCATGTGACAGTCCAGAATATAATTAAGACAGCTGTCTTGAGAGTTACAGGTGACACAGAGTCCACTGTTGTGTTAACAAAGCATTTCAGATATGAATGAAAATGCCTGTGATTGGTGAGGAATTGGATGAGTTGAAAGTTCGGAAAGTTGTAACTGTACCTATGATAGGTGATGTTGTTGCTGGAGTCCCAGTCACGCTGCCAGTTGGCGAGAAGATCATTCTGAAGTATTTTCTTGATGGTTTTCAGGTTTAGTTTATCATACTCAGTGTGCAGGGTTTGGTCAGTGGCAGCAGATTTGGCGAAGAAGTCAGCATGCTCGTTGCCGACATTGCCCTGGTGGACATGAACCCAGTTGATGCTATAGTAGTTGTTTGAATTACTTTGGATTGTGTGAATGTCATAGGCAATGGGGTGAAGGTTACGGCGATTGAGGATAGAGATGGCAGAACTACTATCAGAATGGAGAATGATGATGATGTTATGGAAGGTTTTGGTGCTCCAATTGAGTGTTTGCCTGATGGCGAGCAGCTCAGCCTGAAAAACAGAACAGTTACCGTGGAGGCAGGTCCTGTGGTGGAAGATCTTGTTGCCCTTTTGAAATGCCACAAAGCTGCAGCCCACCATGTTGTCAATCTTTGAGCCGTCAGTGTATAAGTCGATAGAGGAAGTGTGACGAGAAGCCAGAGTAAAGTTAGGGAGCTCAGTAGGATAAGGTGAGTTGGCAAAATTAATTGACCGTTCCAGCTGATCAGCCCAAAGAATACTAGTGTGGGTATTGATGTCATTGCCCCACTTGATGCTCCAGATACTGCTGTGGAGTTTGATAACCTTGTCAATTGGGGGCTTCTTACAGATCAATTGAAGGCTGGAGTTAGGGATGGTCCAGTAGGCCTTAGCAATACAAATGAGGACTGCTCTCTGGCAGAAATCAATTTTCAGTGTAAATGAGATTTGGTAGCTACACTGCCCCAAGTGCCACACCCATAGCTGACAATGGGGACAAAGATGGATTCGTAAATAATACTCATTGCCTCAGAGTTTAAGCCCCAGTTGTTCTTAGCTATCCTAGAAAACGAGTGGAAGATAAGGCCCACTCTATCACAGATATATTTAATATGGTGCTCCCAGGTTAAGTGGTAGTCGAGTATGATGCTCAAGTACTTTAATGTCTTTTTGATTTTGATGGAATACTCATCCATTTTGATCGTCCAAAAGATATGTGAAAAATTTGAGTTAGATGAAGAGAAGGAAGAAAATAGCATCCACGACTCTAAACAAGAAGAGACAGAGAGAGAACTCTCTGCCCATGGCAACTTCAAGGGAGCTCCACCTATCCTTGTTGGTTCTCCAGTTTTATCCAATTCTCATCAATCCTTGCCATTTTGCTTTGTCTCTCCAATCCTCTTCAGTTTCTGTCTATACAGATCATCTAATCCTCTAGATATTTATTCAGCCAGATTCACTGAACCCTCAAATCTCCCTCTCTTTTTCTCTGAACAAACCATAGTATGTAAAGGTTGCAACGTTCAGAAATTCATAGTGCAGATAACAATGAGTTAAATTAAAATTTATTATTAACACTTTGCTTCCAAAAGCACCGATCAATCNCCTGGACCAGCATCAATACTTCTCAACTGTTGCCCACTTTGTAAATCCCATAAACATATGTGGCTATCAAGAGAACTTGATGCTGCAACTATATCAAAAATTATATAATTATTAAAACTAATTATGTATAAAATATAATTCTTTATCAAACATTTACTCTTAAATCCAGAATAAATCATTCTAATATTTTAGTATCAATAGAAACAATAAAACAGACTAAAATATAGAAGTTATTAGTTTTTTTTATTTTAGTTAGGCTTAAAAAAACTCGATCTCTTAATTCAAATCTAATTCAGAATGAGCTGATGATGAACTGAAAGTTTGAAAATTTATTTGATAATAAAAACATCTTAATAAAAATAACTTCTATTGACATAATCAAATAGTACATATAATATATCAAAAGCTTTCACAAAAACACAGAGTACTACATACCCAGAAACCATATTACAAATACACACATCATAGAAAATATCATACAAAATATACTACGGCCAAGATATAACCATAGGCAAAATAATGCATCACAACAGACCAGACAACATATTCATTGACAAACAAAGCAAAATTACTTATATCATAGACATAGCTGTACCAAATACCCACAATATTCAAAATACATATACTGAAAAAATTTGTAAATACAGTGGGTGATCGGTTAACGAACATAATCCGTTCCAAGACTTTGCTATCCGAAATGTTTGTTAACCGATTATCGATTTACCATAGGTTTCTATGGGAATTTGATTAATTCGTTCTGGAAACCCACAAAAATAAATAAAAAATTATATACTTTCTTACTACATTTATTTATATATAATAATAAAAATACATATATACACGTTCTTGCATATTTATTTGTCATGTTTTTTTCCGTGTGTGGGGGTTAAAGAATGTCCAATGTCGATTGCTTTTCTGTCTTCTTCGTGATTTTTCAGAAGTAATTAATCGCATTGTAATTGTAGAGATCCCTAAGCCTATTAACCTCAACCTGGTTTGGATGTGATTTTAAGACTGCTGTTCTGACATCCTCCCACTTCTTCAAAAGATCTTTAATAGCAGATATTGGCATCAATCCTCTTTTTCAGAAGAAAACATAAAAGGATTGTTTCTATCAGAAATATAAAAGGCTGGAATTACAAGGGAGAGTTTCAAAGTTCGGGGGAATACTATCCCAGTATATACAACAGTATATACTGGAATACTACTCCAGTATATACTGTTGTATATACTGGGATAGTATTCCCCCGAACTTTGAAACTCTCCCTTGTAATTCCAGCCTTTTATATTTCTGATAGAAACAATCCTTTTATGTTTCCCAGTATATACAACAGTATATACTGTTGTATATACTGGGTTGAACATTGATGTCAGCATCTCCCGTGCTTCGAAAAGTTTTGAATTGTTGCCTGAAGACAAAAGAATACCAATTGGTATTCGTTATTTTATGTCGCTTCTTCTTGTGTTTGTTCAGTGAAGTGTTCGTTGTCCAATCATAAAAATCTTTCGCAAAAATGTTCGTTATCCGATTTGTTCGTTAACTGATCACCCACTGTATTCAGAACTTGCCCATGGATTAAAGTAGCAGTGGAGAATAAATGAGGTAGGTATTGCTTTCTATCACAGGTGTCATGCTTCACAATAGTACAGTACATACATCACACTACTGAAGGCTGCCATACTAAACACTTGTCACTTAGTCAGGAAATTCTACACAAACACAGATATATATACACAAATAGCACATAAACAAAATAATTGTTTTTGTAATAATGCCTTGACTTCGGTCCACTATAGCACTAGGCATTGTTTGTGCCATAAAGGACACACACTACCAACACCATAATAATAATATCTTCTATGTAAATATTGCAGCTTCTGAACAATTAAAATTTTTAATCTCAGTTTTTAATTGAGACCCTTAAAACTTAATAGCAAATTGCACAATATATTTTCTAGCAATAACAATTGTTTATTACACAAAATAAAATAGTAAATAAAATTAGAAACTATTTATTCTGAATTTTAGTCTGAGGTATTTAAAAATTATTCCTTTTATTTTCCTGGTTGTTATATATACATAACAAAAGAAAGTATTGGAATTGTGTCAAATTTGACTCTCCAAGTTTTATGCAAATCTTCACATTTTGAGACCTTCTAACTCCAAAAAGTAAATAGGAAAAATAAAATTCTGTGGATGTGTGTGCTGTGTATCCATGCTTGGCTTAGTGACATGTTATTAACAGTTAAAAGTTGAAAAATTACCTTCATCTCTGGGAGTTAAACTGTTTGGTTTTCCTGATCTTATGTTTTTGTCACAATTCTCTTCTGAGCTGAAACATTTCTTATGGCATATGAAGAGCAATTAATAGCAGCTGAAATTTGCCTCAAAGATTTACCAGAGCCATGCAACAAGTAAATTTCATGAATCTGTCTCTGACAATGTTGTTTCAAGAGGCATTGTCAAAAACTTTATTAAGATTGTTAAAAACCATTAATTATGATTTAAAAGAATCGCTAACAAACTCTAATGGTGGATATTTAAACCAAATCTTAATAATAATTGTTTAAAGTAGAAATAGGTTGAGTGTGTTTATATTTTTGCAACAACAAAAAAAAAGTGAATTTATTATTATTCATATTTTTGTTTTATTTTTATAAAAATGAATAAATATACTATTAAGATCATAAGCTAATAGATTTTATATACAAAATATCAAACTTTCTAATTTTAATCTACAAATTTACAGAAAAGTGGGTGTGTTTATAACTTTGCAACAGACTGAATCTCTAGTAGGGTCAGACTTAATAACAATTTTACTCATTATAAACATTTATACTTTTTTAAAAAAACTCAACCTTACCCTCAAAATTAGCTTTTTGCCATTTTATGGTAATTAAAAATATAAAAAGTTTTTTATAACAAAATCTCATAACAGATGGCACACAATTTTATTAAGTTATATTGTAAATAAAATTATAAAAATTATTTTCTAAGTAAGATCTCATAATAGCCAGGAAAGTTAGGCAACTCGTTGCTGGATTTTTTTCTCCATTTAGTCAGAGACAGTTTATTGAGAAAAATCAGTTGACTCAAATTAGAGGCACTGAAAAATCATCTTATCAAACATATAATATATATGGCCAGCAAACTAAAAAAAATCTGTTGTCTCTTGTATAATGCAATTAATCAAACTGCATATTTCATAAACTAAATAAATTATTAATTATTATTACAAGATGTGATCTAATTAGACTATATTTAGACCAAATTATATAGTTATTTAACCAGAAAGTATCTCAACAAATGCAACAATTAGGTATTCAAATTATTAATAATACATTAGGCTTGCTGATTACTTATGTATACATACAGATGAGCCTGAAAAAATTGAATTTGATATTCAAATTGCTTTTACACATTTTTAAATTTCAGTCTAAGATTGAGCAGGGTGCTCAATGCAAAGTTCAAATTTAAAATGCACCATGCAAGAGATTGTTTAGTTTGCTAGCCATATGTCCAATAACTGAGGATGGTTATATCACAATTAAATACATCTGGAAGAGGAGATTAGAGTAGAGGCTCGAGTAGCATAATTTGGCAGTGCATCCGCATGGTTAGTGGGAGTTGCGGTTTGAGTCCTGTTTTATGCCAATTCTTTCCTTCCAGAATATTCTAAATTGTATAATTTATTATTAATTTAATAATAATTATTAAATTTAATAAGAGATGGCACCTAACGCCTTCCTCCAGTGACAAATTATTTAGAAATTATTTAGAAATTAATTAAATATAATCGTGGAAAAGGTAGTTGTTTGGCTTTTTATATGTTTGATAATATGATTTTTCAGTGCCATTAATTTGAATGAACTGATTTGTCTCAATAAACGGTCTCTAACCAAATAAAGAAAAAGGAATAATTTTTAAATATCTCAGACTAAAATTCAAAATAATAAATTTTAAATTTTATTCACTATTTTATTTTGTGTAATAAACAATAGAAAATATATTGTATAATTTGTTATTAATTTTTAAAGATCTCAATCTCAATTAGATCTTAAAGATCTTAATCTCAAAAACACATTAAAAAGTTTAATTTTTCAGAAGTTCTAATATTTATTTAGAAGATATGAAGATATGCAACATGTGTTATTTTATGTATTAGCATTATATTAATAAAGACTCACAAGATATAATAAAGGAAATAAACAAGTGACCTTTATTTTTATCTTAAAAAGTACTAAAAGTTTCTTATTTCAAAATAATATATTTAAAAGCAGTTAAGGCTAAGAGAGAGCCTACACTATATTAACAAATTTTAATTAAAATATTAATGTTTACTTTTTAAAAATAATAATAATTATTAAATATATTATTTTTAAAAAGTAGTAATATTTTAACTAAAATTTGTTAATATAGTGTAGGCTCTCTCTTAGCCTTAACTGCTTTTATTTGACAAAGCATTGATTCAATTTGCAATATTGCTCTACAGTTATTCTATTCCAAACTTGTAATATAGTTTGCTTTAAATCAGCTAGAGTATAAGATCACAAATTTTATGTCTTCTTTTTCATAATGTTTAACAAATTTTCAATAGAATAAAGTCAGATGAGTTTCCTGGCTAACCAAAACATTAATTCCATGTTCCAAAAGCCAGTTTGACTATGATGTATAAGCTGGAGCCAGATCTTGTTGAAAAAGAAAATCATCATCACTATACAGATTTTCTTTTAAGGGAATAAGATAGTATTCCAAAATCTCTTAATTGATTTCTGAGTTCTTAATTGTATTTAAAAAACAGAGATAGTTAACACCATCTCTCTCGCTGCACCAAAGTAGTCCGATATTATGACATGTGATTAACTGTAGTAAACTGGAACCACTAATTTCTTCAATATAAAGAATTTTGATTAATCTGAAAATAAAACACATTTTCAGTCTTTATAGGTGTATTGATCTCTTCCTTTAGCCACTGTAATAATTTCTTTCATTGAATTCCAGTTAACAATTTTTTTTTGTATACACAACTGAAATTCCATTTCTTTTAACATTTATCACAATGTACAGTACATCTAGATGCTATGCTG